CTGGATTTGGGAATATCCACCTGGATTTGGGAATATTCAGCTGGATTTGGGAATATTCAGCTGGATTTGGGAATATTCAAATGAATTTGGGAATATTCAGCTGGATTTTGGAATATTCAGGTTGATTTGGGAATATTCAAATGAATCTGGGAATATCCAACTGGATTTGGGAATATTCAGCTGGATTTTTGGGAATATCCACCTGGATTTGGGAATATTCAGGTGGATTTGGGAATATCCACCTGGATTTGGGAATATTCAGGTTGATTTGGGAATATTCAGGTGGATTTGGGAATATTCAGGTTGATTTGGGAATATTCAGTCGGATTTTGGGACTGGGACATCCCAAATCCCGATTTTTCCCTTCCCAAATCCCGGGATTTTGGCCTCGAGGAGTTTTTCTTTTGGAATTCTGGGGGGGGGGGGGGGAAACCCCCAAAAATTCCCCCCCCCCCCCCCCAAAAAAACCCCCCCCAACCTCATTCCCAACCAAAAAAAAATGGGATGTGGGAAATTCCCATCCCGGGAAACTCTTGGATTTCTTCCCCTTTTTCCCAAATTCCCCCCTCCCCCATTTTCCAGGGATTTCCTTCCCCTTTTCCCAAATTCCCCCCCAAAAATTCCCAAAATTTTCCCAAATTCCCCCCCCAAAATTCCCCAAAATTTTCCCAAATTCCCCAAAATCCCCCTTTTTCCAGGGGATTTTTCCCATTTTTCCCGCCGGATCGTTGATTTTTCCCCACAATCCCCGATTTTCTTGGCATTTCCCGTCGACCCGGGGTGGAAACTGGGACCTTAAACCCCGTTTTTAATCCCCAAATTAAATCAGATTTTTCCAGGGATTTCCCCTCCTTCTCATCCCAAAAATTCAACCCCCCATTTCCGGGGATTTCTTCCCGATTTTTTTCCACCTCCAGCTCCACAAATTTTCCTCAGGATGGAATTTCATCTCCCATCGACCTGGGGTGGGAACTTCTGACCTCAAACCTGGTTCTAAACTCAAATCAAACCCAGTTTACCTCCATTTCTCCTCATTATCCCCAATTTACCCTCATTTTCACCCGAATTTCTCCCAGTTTTTCCCCCTTGATGATGGAAGGTCAATGATGGAATTTCATCTCCCATCGACCTGCAGTGGGAACTTTTGACCTTAAACCTGGTTCTAAACCCTCAATAAACCCCAATTTACCTCCATTTCTCCTCAGGAACCCCAATTTACCCTCATTTTCACCCGGATTTCTCCCGTTTTATCCCATTCCCATCTCCTGGATTCCCCCTCGACAATGGAAGGCCAATGATGGAATTTCATCTCCCATCGACCTGCAGTGGGAACTTTTGACCTTAAATCTGATTCTAAACCCAAATCAAACCCAATTTACCTCCATTTCTCCTCATTTACCCCAAATTAAAGCAAATTTCTCCCTTTTTTTCCCATCCCCAGCTCCGGGCGCGGCCCCGCCGACGATGGCCCAGCTGCTCCTGCTGCCCCTCCTGGTGGCCAGCGCGGCGTCCCCGGCGTCATCTCCCCCTTCATCATCATCATCCTCATCATCCTCGTCCCCCCCCGCCCCGTCGTGCCCGCGGCGCTGCCAGTGCCAGAGCGTGTCCCCCTCCTTCACGGTGCTCTGCGCCAAGACGGGGCTGCTCTTCGTGCCGCCCGCCCTGGACCGGCGCACGGCCGAGCTGCGCCTGATGGACAACTTCATCAGCGCCCTGCGGCGCCGCGACTTCGCCAACATGACGGGGCTGCTGCACCTGACGCTGTCGCGCAACGCCATCAGCCAGATCGCCCCGCTG